GGGCCGCACGCATGCCAGGCGAGTGCGCTACCGCTTGAGCCACATCCCCAGCCTGAGTGCTTGTTTTAATGATAGCTACTTTATCTTTTCCATTCCTTTTTGTAGTAAAGGATAATGCCAATTATCCTATACAACACAATCCCATAGTATCACTGGTCATTATCCTACACTATTTTTATATTTTATCAATTGGATACTTCTGAAAATTTGGAGCCAGAGTTGCCAAGCACATTCTTTCTTCAGTCTTACCTGTCGCACCGTTCCCGCATGGACTGGATCTCTTGAAGAGCAGGGACAGCCTCTACAGCCCCTCGGCCTTCGGGAACATTCCGGATACTCTTTATGCGCTGAAGGAGCAGGGTCAGCAAGAGCTGCTGCATGTCCACACTCTCTTCGTATTGGCAGAAAGCGTCCAGCAGCTCTGAGAGCTCCTCCGTGGTGGCGGCCTCCTTTGTTTTGGAAATTTCTGGGAGTTCCTCTTGAAGATTGTCTAAAATGATTGCTTCTCGTTCCATCTAATTCAATAAACAACAACAACAACGAAAGAGAACTAAAATAAGTCAAGCACACTCTTACCACATTAGGACTTGAAATATTCTTGTGCAGCCGTAATTTTTTAGTACTCTCTCTTCAAAGGGTATCTATAGGCCATCTCCTAATTCAAAAGAAATATTTGTTCTCCTGCAGTTGGGAATATTGGTCCTCTATCAACAGAATCATATAGCTCCCAGCTATAGGATGATGAGAACAAAGGGTTGTGGTGGCTCACACCTATATCCCCAGAAACTCAGGAGGCTGAGGCAGGAGGATCACAAGTTCAAGGCCAGCTTCAGCAACTTATCGAGATCCTGTCTCAAAATAAACTGAAAAAGGGCTGGGAATACGTCTCAGTAGTAATATGTCCCAGGCTCAATTCCCAGTACGATGAAAATAAATAAGTAAGTAAGTAAATACATAAATAAAATGAAGTGTTACTGTTGTGGGAAAAAGAAATGTTGATGAATATTTAAAATAATTGATTTCCTATTCAGTTTTCTGTTGGATAAAGTGGTTTTTCTCTTGAGATGCACAGGGGTTGTTAGAATGAGGCCCACAAGCAGCTCCCAGTGTAAGAAGCGAGGCAACTGTTAGACATGGAAATTTTCCTGCAGGTCCCTTTTCTTTCACTTCTAACTCCAAAAGTAAGTCCAGTGGATTCTCATTACCCTCCTTCATGGCGCCCACCACAGAGAAACCATCTTGAAGTACCAAACCAACCATGTATTTATCAACCACTAGTATGTGCAGAACCCAAAATCATATCTTATTTTTAAAAATATGTTTAGTTAAATTTATTTATTTACATGTGGTGCTGAGCATTGAACTCAGTGCCTCACACATGCCAGGCAAGTGCTCTACCACTGAGCCCCAGCCCCAGCCCCCATAACTGATTTTAAATGCAGCTGGAAATCAAAAGCTCCATTAGACTTCAACAAAGACTTAGAAAAAAGTCTCAAAGTCTCCTGAATCTGATGGATCTTAAGTCCCTTCTCAACTCCTAGGGTCTTCTCCTCCTTTGCACCCTCATTTATCTCATTCTGTGCTCATGTGACATCAGTCCTATGTTCACACAGAGCCACACATCTATGCTGGCCATCTCGACACTGCAGAACATCACACCAGTCAACTCCACTTATGACATCATGAGTAATCGAAATAGTAAGCAAGGTCCTGGATGTCCAGTAAGATGTGCCACAAGGTGAGTAATAAAGCCTATGCAAACTCAAAAGCTCCAGCATCAATTAAGACTCCAAGGCCCAGTGGTCTGAGGTGCAGCAGGGCTTCTCCTCTTTCAGGTTTTTCAATCCTTGACCTCCACCACTGAGAAAGAGATGCAGCACCACGTGGGCCTTTTTGGATTTTAGAGGTTGCATATATTGTAACTGGGATTCTTACACAGCTCTGCTTATCAGATCCATTATCAACAATGCTGTAAGGCTGAGGCACACATGGAGAAAATGAGGCACTGCAGCAGGGGTGGGCTACTCTGCCACTTGGGTCATAGGATCCATTGGGTTCAGTGGCTATAATACCTGGAGAAGGTATAGACTGGACCCTCTCCAAGAGCCTGAGTTATGAAATTTGTGCTTCCCATCATCTCCAAACCAAGACTTGGTTCTCAGGCTGACCACTATACTTGCATCAGGGAGTTCCACTAGAACTATGTTCCACTAGATCATATTGCTTGAGAACCACCATGCAAATAAAGGCACTGTCATATTGACAGGGCTAACAGCACATCTAGGTTTCCAATATGCACAGGCATTGGAAGAACTCTACCTGCAACCCAAGACCTACTGGAGCATCTCTTGGTACTTCCATTGTTATCCTAACCACAAATGGGCAAACACAGCTACGAACACACAGTCAGAGCCAAACAACTAAGGGCCCAGACTTTTCCTGCTTCCGTTCTATTAGTCTCCTACTCCTGTCCTCCCAGTGTCACTTTCCAAAATAAACCACCTGCTGGCAGTCCCTAAACACAGGTTCTGCTCTCTCTTGTACAGCTGGTTAAGTGTCTGAGGAAGGGAACTCAAGGGGGACAACAATTTTTTTTAACAGGTCCTGGGGATTCAACCTAGCTCTTGTGTATGCCAGGCAAATGATCTACCATGGAATCTCACCCCCAGCCACTTAATAATTTTTTTATTAAAATGATAATTTTGCTCAAAAGCCAGGAATTCTTTATCTTATGAATGGATCAACTGTACTCCATCTACCAAGTAGAATAAAAAGAAATGAACTGCTGAGACAAGCAATTGCAAGAATGAACCCAAGCACGTGATGCTTAGTGAAAAGAAGTCAAAGGCCACACACTATATGAATGCACTTACATGACGTTCTGCAAATGAAAAAGCTACAGGACAAGAAATAGATTAATGGTAGCCGGGGACTGGAGGTGAGGGAAAACAAAGAGCATAAAGTGACACAGGGAATTTTCAGGGTGACAGAAATGTCCTACATTTAGGTTAAGTGTTAAAACTCAACAAACTTTTTGTTAAATTTTACTGACTTGGGGGTAAGGACGACTCAAATCATAACAAGTTGCCATAACAAGTATACATACATTTGTCTACTTACAAGAGGCTTTGTTGATCTTCCTTGGACACGGAATCCTAACAAAATTGGTTATAAAACTTCTAGGTTCAGCTGGGCATGGTAGCACATGCCTTAATCCTAGAAACTCAGAAGGCTGAGGCAGGAGGATTCTAAGCTCAAGGCCAGTCTCAGCAACTTAGTGAGACCCTGTCTCAGACAAAAAACTGAAAAAGGCTGGGATGTATCTCGTGGTAAAGCACCCCTGGGTTCAATTCCCCAAACCAGAACCAACTCTTAGGTTCATGGTAAATTATGAAGAAATCAAAGGGGAGAAGGCATGTAGATAGGAAAAAGAATTCTGTAGGTTATCAGAGCTGGAAGCTATCACCTTTGAGGTCAATGTCACCCTATCATTTGTAAGATATAAGAGGGGAAAAGGTAAGTAAAAAATTATTTTTTTAACTTGTACACTTGTAAACTGGGCATTTACATTTTCAAGAATTATACATGAACCATTTATTCCTTAAAGATACTAAATGACTGTATTACTGTAGACATTTTAAAAACAGAATTCACTTTATCATGTTTATAAAGGCACCAACCACACTAACAAAATCTTACGAGTATAGGTCTTTAGATGATGTCATTTTACTGAATGGGTAAGGGCTACAGTACAATCATATATCAGGCTGGGGGTATAGCTCAGGGATAAGGTGCTTGCCTAGCATGCATGAGTCCTGGGCTTGAGCCAGAACATCAGGAAAAAAAATTAATTTAATGTATGCAAATATCATTTAATTTGGTGATTTAGTGATTAAGCACAGACTTTATGTTTGAAAAAAATTTATACATACATTTAAAAAACCTCCTCAGGAGTCTCTTGAGGATGAAACAATGCACATGGTGACATAAAACCTAGTATGTGTAATTATGACTGGCACATATTACGTGCTCTACTTAGTATTTGTTATTATTGTGCTATTCTTTGAGAAATATATTTTGCTATCAGACTTTGTCAAATGTTTGTAAGAATAATTGCATGAATGAGGTCTGAATTCATAAGATATTATTGCAAATGGGTATCAAGCAACATGTGAGAAAATAAAAAGAACAAAAGGTTTGAATTAGCCAGAATCTGGATTTGAATAAGAGCTGTCCTTCCACAAATATTTACTAAGTGCCCACTAAATGCAAGGCTGTGGCCAGGGTTGTAAGGTTGGAATGGTGAGCAAGACAGCCTCAGCCTCATCCCATAGGGGCTCACTGCTCAATCTCCAGCTGGGGCTGCTTGGCTGTTGCCTAATATCTCCGGTTTCAGTTTCCCCACCTACATAATGGTGACAATATTTACCTCCACAGACCAAGATTCAGTGAGATCATGTGTGCACTGCCTTCTCAGCCCAGGGCAGGAACTCAACAAATGGTACTATTGTGGACACGCAAGAACCAGAGCCAGCAGCCCCACCGACAGGATAATTTACAAAATTTCTTAGAGCTTGAACACGGAAGAGATTACTCACTGATCAAACCCTGCCTGAATGACTGAAATGATATTCATTTTCAAGAACATCAAGTTCTAAGCAGGTTACTATGATAGTGTTAAACATTTTGATCCCAAAGCATGTGATCTTCCTGCAATTAAGTGTTGACTCATATTTCTATCTTAAAGTCAGCACAAAGTTTGAAATGAATAAGAGAAGGGTTTTTTTTTCATGAGTGTTCTGAATTGTATGTCATTGATACCTGGCCCTTTGGAAAGATCAGAAAATATGCTAAGATCCTTTCATACGATTTTTAATTTTCTTTCTTAATACATGTGAATCCTAAGTCCTAAACTATGAATAAATTAACATCTGTGATTGGCATATATTATTATGGGGGTCTTCTTTGAGACAGTTTTCCAAAAGAATATCACACCTCCTGTTTTTAGGTCTGCACTTAACAATTGTAGCTAATTTCCATAGCTGACAATGGTAGTTAATTTCAAAATTAGTTGGTTTTATGCGTGTTGCCTAATTCTAACCTTTAGTAGAATGAATGTAGAGCCAGTTATTCTTAAGAGAGATTAATTTATCTTTATAAAAAAGATTTTAAAACTCAAGCTCAACAATTTATAAGAATTATCTTATACCCCGCCACAAAAAAAAAAAAAAAAAAAAAACTAAGCCACTATTATGAAAGAGCCTAAGTAGTTCTTGGGGACTATTCTAATAGAGCCTGACCTGCCATGTATATATGATGTACACAGAGGGCACTGTGGGGGGCTTGTTTTACATACAAAGTGAAGGTAATAAAGGTAATAATAACATTTGCTTGGAAACTGTAGAATTTGAATGTTGAAAATGAAACACTCACTTCCTCACTGACGAATTTCCACTCCTGCTTCAGTTCTTCACTCCACATCTCCCACACTTTGGCAGCCTGTAGCAAACTGAGCCACTTCTCCCACAGGACCGACAGGCCTCTGAGCACACACATGCCATCCTTTTCTGTGCACCTGCGCCTCAAGTGTCTAAGGACCTGTCGAAGCTTCGTGAGCTCTTTTCTGGTTGATTTGAGATTTGACACCAAGGCCTGAAGAAAAAAAATGAAAGAACAACAGGGATATAATGTCTATTTTTTCCCCCTGAAACATAGAAACTGTCTTAGATCTTCAACAGTTAGTGATTGTGACCATCCACAAGTATTATGTGACCATTTTTTATCCTTTTGCAAGTCAATTTGGGCCAGATAAGAATTATCCATGAACTATATTCTGCATGAATTTGAGACTATGAGGACCAATAATGACCCTAAAATCTAAGAATGCACTTTCAAAGGTAAATATCTGAGAATTACCTCTTGTTATTTTAACTTGAGTCTATATTTTACTAGATAATTTATCTGTACAATGTTTCCTATATTAACCATCAAAAAATATTTAGGGTTGCTCCTCCCCCCTTTTTCTTCTTTGCTTTTGGTAGATATTAAACACTGTCAATTTAGAAATGTTCTCATCCAAATCCAAGCAGCAATAATACTGTACATTCTAACAAATGCAAATAAGCAAAAATTTAAAATTCTTAGTAACAAGGTCTAAGAAGTGACCAGAAATCAGAGCATAAGACAGGTGCATGACTGCTCAGTGGGCGACAGGCTCTACCATTGATCCAGCAGCATCCCCTGAGATCATAGGAAAATGAAGGTTTACAGAGGACAGAATGCTACTAGGGGAGGACTACACTGTGAATCCAATTAATTAAATATCTTAAAAACCACTGTTTCGTTTTTCTCCCCCCTGACTTCTGATTTGAGGAACTTTCTCAACTCAGCCTGAAGATTTCCATGGGTTGTGAGAACCACATTTCCTGCTGCCTCCACGTGCATGATCCTTCTGAGTTTTGTGCACAGACTTACGGAGACTGGCAAACGCAGTTACCTTGCTCTGTTCCAAGCGCTCTAAAGCTTCCTTGTAAGATACTGGTAACGGGGACATGGACTGCCTGAGAACTGTCTCCATTTTTCTGAGGTGAGTACAAATGTACTCCTTGATACTTCTGTAGCGTTTGTAGTTCTCAAGACACCTGATGAGGCATAGTTAGAAAAAAGAGTGACATTACATTTTATGGAACACGATAAGCTCTGAACTTCCCAGGATGAATTCTCCACATTCAGTTTTATATAAGATTTTTTTTTTCTATTCAATGCATTTCAACAGGTTTTCAATGACTACACAACTCCAAAGGGGCCCAGGGATGGCTTAAAATGCAAACTTTAACAGGCAATTAAGGCTGCCCTTAAAATACCTAAACTACCAGAGCTTTGTGGATTTTTTTTTGACTCATTAATTTCACTTCTGCAATTTCCCTCAAGGAATAAATCCTAAATATAAGAAATTTATCCTAAACAAGATAAAATTTTTTGCATAATAATACCTTTTCTCTCACCAGAGTATTAATTAAAATAGCAAAAATTATGTTTAGGAAAAGGTATGATTAAGGAAATTAAATAAGAAACCATTATATAAAATTTTATATAGCAATTGTAATTACTTTTGTAAAGTGTTATAATAAAGAAATGACCTAGTGTTATAGGGTAAAAAAAATCAAGGGGCTGGGGATGTGGCTCAAGCGGTAGTGCGCTCGCCTGGCATGCGTGCTGCCTGGATTCGATCCTCAGCACCACATACAAACAAAGATGATGTGTCCGCCGAAAACTAAAAAATAAATATTGAAAAATTCTCTCTCTCTCTCTGTCTCTCCCTCTCTCTCTCTCTTTTAAAAACAAATCGAAGTAGAAAATTTTTTATTTTCTATTCAACATAATATTGTGATATGTTAAAAATAGTATAAAAATTTTTATGCAAAATAGATCCCAAATTCCCCACTGAGAACAATAAAGATTCTCTACCAAATTTACTTTTAAAAAGAAAAGAACTCCTAAAGCACACTAATAAACTGGCAAGGAATCAAGGATACAAAAATCTATAAAATGAAAATATATGGAAATAAGAAAATCTGTAGGGCCAGGTTTTTGCTTTGAGAATATTTGTGAGATTTTAGTTTTCTTTGCCTGCTACTCAAATGTGGTTCTGGATAGACTGGATGGGTATTTAATAGGAACATAGAATAAATTCCTACAAATCAGTAAGAAAAAGATAGACAACACAACAAAATATGAGTAAAGACTTGAATAGACATTCTACAGAAAAGGAAATAGCAACAATTAATAAACATTCAACAAAGAGATCAAACTCATTATCAGTACTAGAAATGCAAATTTAAACCGTAATCAGGTAACACTTCTTACTCATTCATGTTTGTATGCATATGGGACACCTGTAATACCTATAAGCTGCTGGTTTAGATGGAAATTAGGCATTAAAAATATTATTTGGCATTAAAAATTTAAGATGTGACCCAGGCAGTCCCACTCCTAGAGATATACCCACAGAAAACTCTTGCATTTTAAAATGTTTCTACTAGTAGTGTTTGAGAATACAAAACACCAGGAACAATCCAGATGTCCATCAATAGCTAAGTGCATGAATTTTTCTACAGAAAAGAACAATGAATAAATCTCAGGGTCATATGATGAGTTTGAAAAAAATGAAGTGACAGAAGAATAGACACACTGGGTGTTGGTTTGATGATCATGAAAAGAGAACACATCAACACAGCAAAAATACAACAAAAAGCAAGGAAGTGACAAACATTGTACTTAAGATAAGAGATATTTATGAGAGAAGAAAGGAGCATAGGAGAAAATTAAAAATAGGGGCTAAGGCTGTGGTTTGGTGAGAGAGCGCTTGCCTGGCACGTGTGGGGCACTGGGTTCGATTCTCAGCACCGTATATAAATAAATAAAGTAAAGGTCCATTGACAACAAAAAGAAAAAAAATTAAAAAGAAAATTAAAATTAATGTCAATCTTTGAAACTTTAAGCACGAAGATGTTTGTTTTATCATCATTCTTTATATATATCATATACATGCTTGCATCAATATTCTCTATGCACCCAAGGAAATTTTAATATAACAACATATTTACTAAGGTTTTCTTTAGTGAACTTTTAAAAAACTTTTACAATTGCCCATATTAGCTCTAATGCATATACGTTAATTATTTAAAAAAAAAAAAAAAAGCCTTAATTTACGTTCCTAAAGTATTACCTTCAGGAAGAAGACTTACCTTTCTACCATAGCTGCCTTCACTGTGGCCGCCTCCTTCATGGCTGAGTTCTTAGAAACTAATTCCTGTAAGGTACACTGGAATTCCTGTTTGGCCTCGGGCGCTGATATAGTTCCCAGGTTCTCGATGAGGTCCTGGATGTCTGCAATTGTGGATTCCAATTCCTTTTGCTTCCAGCGAAACCTCTCTAGTGATTCTTGTGGATTATGAAGGTTTACTCTCGGGGATGCAATGATGGCTTCCTGGGAAGTGATGATCTCCATCGCCCTGGCGACTGCTTCGTTATAGAGGGTTATATTTTCATAAGCACTGTTCAAGGCATCCTGGAGAATAGGAGATTAAAAACTGTGACAACACTGTCAAATGTTTTGTCATTATTGAATGTTTGTTCATGTGCGTTCCTAATCTGTCTCTGTGTCTTATCAGAGCTGACTTCTTATACTTACGATTTAACAGTATCAAATATTATTAAAAAGGAATAACTTTTTGTTTGTATGAAGAAAAAATGGTTTCCAGCTTTTCTAAGAAATCATCTAAATTCAGAATAATGTCTCATGAATCATGCCCACTGCTATATGTTCCTGCTCTGGAATTCTTGCACCAGACTACAAATTAAATAAAACAGTGAAAGTCGTTTAATATGTATAATTTTAATCAGTACCTGTGAACAAATGAAAACAAAACAAAAAACTCCAGATTGCTTGTGTCTTGAAATCAATAGCTATGCTACTACCTTTAGTCTAGGCACATCACGGAATGTCTCTAGACCTCAGTCTTCTAACTAAAATAAGAAATAGCAGGGTATGGGCTGGGCATGGTGATGCATGCCTGTAATCCCAGCAGCTCAGAAGGCTAAGGCAGGAGAATCACGACGATAGAGCCACCCGGGGTTTGATCTCCAGGATCACACACACATAAAAAAGTTAATATGTAACTTCATGACCAATGTGATTCTACAACCCGTACATTCAGAAAAATGAGAAATTATACCCCATCTGATTCAAATGTATGATATGTCAAGATCATTGTACTGTCATGTGTAACTAATTAAAACAAATAAAAAATGGCAATTAAAAAATACATGATTTAATTTTCAGTACTAGAGATTGAACCCAGAGTCTTGTGTATGCTAGTTCTACTGCTGAGCTAAATAACCCTAGCTCCAAAATAAATCACTTACCCTCCAATTATAATCATATTATTTTGGGTATTTATGTCAATTGTTTCCTGAAATCATTAAAACTAAGAGAGGTTCTCAGATTCCTCAACATCTGCTATGAACCCATTTAAACAACACATTAGTGTTCATCATTTGACTTTACACTTCTGTAGCACTTACATCTATCAAAATATTTCAAATACATTACCTAATAATAACTCTTCGAACTAAAGAAGTTAATTTCCCCATCTTATAAGTTGAATGTGACAGACTTGATAACAACGTGTAAGGTATCGTGTAGAGTACAATGTGAAAGATGTCTAAGACACCTATTAAAAGGAAAGGGGGAAGTGTGCTGGGGTCACTTTCCCACAGAGGTCAGCAAACATCAAGACTACGCCACTCTGCAGTTGGAGCATGAAAACAGCCATCATTAGCCCATAAACAAAGGGGTGTGGTTGTGTTCCAATAAAACTTTAATTATAAATCAAGAACTATGGACAGGATTTGGCCCATGGTTCTTCCTTGATTTGATGACTCCTCATCTAGAATCAGATCTTAATTTTAATTCTGGTTCTGTTTTTGACACAAGATCCTGAGAAAAATCTGAACTTCAATTTCCTTATTGTAATATCATCATCATCATCATCAACTCTGGGAATTGAACCTAGGGCCTTGAACATGCTACGCAAGAGCTCTACCACTGAGCCACATCCTTAGCCCTCAATTTTCCTTAAATAGGCTAATAATAGCACCTGCCTCACAGAATTGCTGAGAAGATTAAACATAGAGTGATTAGTACTGTGCCTAGCATATTGTAAATTCTAAATAAATATTAGTTATTATTTTGTGTTCTTCCCTTACACCATACTTCTTCTATCATCTTTTACTATCTCTGGAGACAAAAAAAAAAAAAAAAAAACCACATACACACGTGAAAAAACTTTTTGTGACTTCCATAAGGGCTACGAAGGAAGCAGATGTAGAGATCAGATTAGTGCTTTTCCAAACTATAAGGTATTGAATTTAGATGTAGATTGAGTCAGGATTATAAAGTTGCATTTAACCTCCTGCAAAGAATTCTCCTGTAGAACCTGTAACTTCTTTAGATGTACAGATATTAACCATAGTAAAATAAACAAATAAAAAATAAAACACCATTAAATGAAAATATGTGATTTAAAAAAAAAAAAACTTACCATGCGTAAATCAATGCTTCTGCTAAGCTGTGTCTGAAGCGCTTCAACATCTTGCAATTTTGTCTCCATATCAGCAGTTTCAGGAGAGTTTTCTTCTCTTTGCTTCTCGGTAACAGTCACAGCTTTAATACTACACATTTCCTCCTGAACTAGTTCTAGAAATGCTTCACAATTATCCTTCTCATTTTCAATATGTTCAATTCCCAAATTTATAAGCAAAGGCTGCTGTACGTGAGATTTAATCTGATTTAAAACATGTAAGGAATTTTCTAGTAGGTCCTGAAAATTCTTTTCATCAATTTCTTTTGGTTGGAATTCTAGTTCTATGTTTTTGACAACCTTCTGTAACTTATCATTTTCTTCTACATTCAGTGTTAGTTGTACTATTTCTTTCTCTTTGAATGAGTCATCCAAGGCCTTGTTTTCACTTAATTTCTTTAGTACCTCATTATAGAAGCACTTCGCTTTCTCAATCTTCTGATTCAAAATTATTGCATTGAGCAAATTGCTCTCTGGTGAGGTATCAGGAGCTTTCTGTACTAATTCAGCCCTTTTCTTAATTTGCATATCCATATCCCTTACTTTACTCAGTAATGCTTGATATTTGCCATGTTCTGCCACAAACGTATCCAACTGTCTGATTTTTTCTTCAAGTTTCTTTTCTTTTTCAAATACTTGGGTTTTCAATTGGTTAAGCTGTGAACAGTCCCAGTTTATCCCTATATAGTCAAACAGTTCTTTAAGTTCTAATAGTTGTAAGATCTCACATCGAACACCGGTAAGTCTGTCTTTAAGATTATTGAACTCTTTCACATCTTGATTTATGTCTTGGTTAAGTAGTAGTTCCTTGTGCTGTATACGATCAACCTCCCTCTGAAGACCAGATGTTTCTTCATGGAGTTCTCTGTAAGAGTTTATCTTACGTTCTACTTCATTGCACTTACTCTGAATGAATCTTCGTGTTCTGTTGGCCCTGGTCTTCAGATGTTTTAAATGGTCATCGAGAAATAATCTTTCAAAGACATTTAGATCCTTACAGGTGTTTGCTAGTTCCTGAAGATGTGTGGAGATCACACTCCCAATATCTCGCAGCTCCTCCTGGGATGCCTTCAAAGTGAAGTGGACATGTGCTAGCTCAGTTTCTGTGGAGGCTGCTTCCATCTTGGGAATGATCAGTGCTTCCTTTCTTTGAAGGGTGAGTTGAGCCTTCCCAATCCCTGCAAAGAATTGGCTTCTTTCTTCCAATTTAAATTCCAACTGCTGTGATCTCTGAGTTGATTTTAAAACTAGCATTTGGTATTGACTCTGTAAGTCCTCCAGGAGGCTATTTAAATCATCCCCCTCATCTGCTGTAAGGTTTGGAATGATATCTTTGACCTCTTCCACCAACGACTCCATGACCTGCTGCTTATCCAGAATACCGTCATGAGCCGTCTTGCATTTTCTGATCTGTGAAAGAATGTCATCTGGGAGAAGGCAAATGTAGGGAGTGAGTGTCCCCCGCAGATTTTTGACCCACTGGATAGTCTCCTTCATCTTGTTCTTTATGTCACATTTCTTAATCTGATTTTCCACCTCCAGGTTTAATGGATCCAGTGTTTCCAATTGCTTCTTCAAATTATTTATTGCATCTTCTAAAATCTTCTTTTCTTTTTCTCCCCAGAACCTCTTCATCTGAAGTTCAGCTTGTGTCTTTAAAATAGAAAACCCATGCTTGATGGCCTGGAGCTCAGTGGCCGAGGCAATGATGCTGTGGCTCCCCTCCTGTTCTTCTAGAGAATTCAGCCTTAACAGTAGACACTGCTGCTGCTCTTGCAGAGAAGTCTCCATGTCTTGGAACTTATTCACAAGGGAGGTGAACTCACCATATTCCATTACCTGCTGCGAATGCTTCTTTTGAACCATTTGTTCCATTTGCTCCCAACCATGCTCAAGCTGCTGAATCTGGTTTTCCATCAGCTTCTTATCCATGTCAGTCACATGAGGTGATAAGCTCTCCCATTCAGCTTTCAACTTGCTTAAAGAAACTTTCTCTTTTTCTATTGATCTCAGGAATTTCTTAATTTTGTTCAGATAGATTTCACTGTCCATTGGTCCCCTAAGGGGGAAAAAAATAAAAATAGTGTTTTTTCACATTTACTATTTATGATGAACTAATATATAGTTAGATAATCATTAAAAGAAAATAATTCTGCTTTGAATTCACAGAAAAGAAGATTAGGATATCTACAAAAGTATTATATCCTTAAAATAGAAATAAAAAAAATCTTATTTACTGTGGCTTTCAATTAATGGATGACAATGCCAAAAATATACCTTTAAAATGGTATCATTAATGGGCTGGGGATATAGCTCAGTTGGTACAGTGCTTGCCTCGTATGCACAAGGCCCTGGGCACCACACACAAAAGAGGTATCACTAAAACAAAGAATCAAAGGAAAAGAGTGAAGAGTGAAAAAAACCAATGTATATAAAAACAGTCAACTGTAAAGTGCTGTACAAAGGTTAGTCTAGGACTGAGAGAAATTACCATACTATCAAACACTTTTGTCCATCTTTCTAAAATCATGATACAGATATTGACTAAGAAGTCAGAATTATTAAGCAAATGTTTTTAGTATAAAGTGTTTTCCTCAAGAGATAGTACTAAAAGTAAACCCATTTAGATATACATATAAAATAAACCTTTTTAACAAAAAAAAAAATCACCTATTAAGACTATATCTGGGGCCGGGGCTGGGGCTCAGCAGTACTGCACTTGCCTGGCACGTGTGAGGCACTGAGTTCGATTCTTAGCACAACATATAAATAAAGGTCTATCAACAACTAAAAAATAAAACTAAAAAAATTTTTTAAAAAAAGACTATCTGCCACCATTTGTTATCATTATGCAAAAGGAGTGCATATATTTTAAAAGAAACAATTAATACACAAGTGTGTAAATATATACATATATGTGTGGGTATATATACATATATATTCAATATGTACTAAACTAAACCAATTATGCGAATGCCAAAAAATTATACACATATTTTTATCCTTCCCACAGTTTAAAATAAACTCTTATCCAAAAGAACATTGAATTTCATAGAACTGAAATATACTTTGCAGATATTTATACTGTGAACTGTTTGATAACTTAGTTTGTACGACATATTCAGTAAAATACATTTAGTTTTCCAGCACAAAACCAACAAAGTTTTCTTAAATGGTTTCTGCTATTTAAGAATATTTGAGGGTTGGGGATATGACTCAGTGGAAGAGCACTTGCCTAGCATGTTTGAGACCCAGGGCTCAATTCCCAGCAAAGCAAAAACAAACAACAAAACAAACCAGAAAGAGTCCCTCCCAAATTCCTATTTTATCAATAACTTAGGGGTATTAAGAAGTGGGGCCTGGAGGGTAATTACATTATGAGGCCAAAACTCTTATAAAATATGAACGGGTTTAGGGGTCTTTGAGACAGAAATCTCTAGAGAACTGTCTTGTCCTTTCTACTCTGTGAGGACACAACTAGAAGGTACCATCGATGCACTGGTGAGAGCTTTCACCAGACATCACATTTACCAGCATCTTGATCTTTACTTCCCAACCTCAAAACTGTGAGAAAGAAATTTTTGTTGTTTATAAGCCGTACAGTCTATGGTACGTTGTTATAGCAGCCCAAACAGACTAAGCCAGTTCCACGTAGAATTCATTTCCTAGAATAGTTTTACAATCATAAGATCCTTTCACAGTATAAACTCTGAAAACTCTGAGCCCGTCCAAGGAAGTGAGGGCTGTGCTTGAATGAAAAGCACACCAGTCCTGTATTCCCACACTTACACTTTTAGACTTTCCTTTTCTGTCAACAAGGCTTTCATCAAGGATTCAACTGCGGTGACATGTTCTTGAAAATGTTTAAGGAGATAATACTGGCTTTCTTTATTTTTCTTCAAAGCAGTAAGCGCCTGAAGCAGATTGTCCAAGTGCTGTGCTGAATATCTTTTATTGTGGAGGGCCAAGGCACTTGCTTCTGTTTTGTTAAAACATTCAGATTGTTCTAGTGGTTCAATGGCTGTTTTCCTTGCTTCTAATCGGTTATATAATTCCTAAAAACAAGCCGCACAAACCAGTAAATCATACATGCATTAATTCATTTTTCCTCTCCTTTCCTCCGGATAACACACCCTATTCTCAAGGTGATATTTCAAATATTTCATCTGCACACGGAGAAACTAAAGTCATGACATCTAAAAGAACTTTTTTCTCTACAATCAGGTGAAAATCTAGACCAAAGTTCACCTGGGTTCAGCATTTAGTATCAATTACATGATCCCACCGTCTTAAAAGTTTCTGTAGTTTCTAAAGGAAAATTTATTTTAATTATTTACATACAGCAATAGATGGCGTTATTATTACATCTCATATTGTTATTAATTACTACTAATAGTTATTATTAGTAATAATAGTATCTAAGTAATAATTATTATTAGTTAATAATATCATATCTCATTCTTAGACACATATTTCCTATTATGTAAACTTGGCTAAAATTGTAGGGATCATTTATAGTTTCATTTTTTAAAATACGTGGTCACGTATTGGATTTTTAGATTGCACAGCTAGAAGTACATAAATATGTTAACGCAGCCTATAAACCCAGCCGCCAAAACAAAGCAGGACCCATGGACTGATCATGAGGAAAAATAAAAAGAATCTGTCAGAATCAAAAAACTATACATGACCACGAAAAGGAAAGATGACAAGTCAGAAAAATCCAAAATTTTGTTGCTGAATAAGTTTTGGGGAACTTTCTGAAAGAGAAAGAAGACGAATGTTCATTAAACCCTTCTACTTGTTAAATGCAAAAACTTATAAAACCTACTGATGAGTACATAATTATACAGTTACCAAATTGATCATCAGGCAGAGGTTAAATAAGACTTTTCACTCCGTGCAAGCAGGTTTTTGGTAATTAAAATGCATTGTGCTACCCTGGATGAGCGATGCAATCATGTGGTCAGTGTTTCCGCGGTTCCATACCTCTATCTCTTCTAATTGTTCATTTCTCAGCAGAACATCCAATTCCAAGGGCTGATTTTGCAGCTCGTTGACTTTGTGCTCATCTTCAGCGTTGTTCATGCTTTCTTGAACATGGAGAGGAAATTGTTTTGACAAAACCATTTCCACGTCTGAATTCTGAAAACATAAAAAGATTAATTGCTGAGTAGTCTACCTTCCAATGAATCATTTTTATTTATCTTGACAAAAAAAAAATTGTGATTTCTTCTACTGACTCAGATTAAGAACTTTTAGGAAGTATAGTTGGGTATTATCAAAGGTGATTTTTTTTCCCATACCATAATGAATACCTACTTGGTACTCCAAAAAGTGAAACTTTGTTACAACATAGTACAGGATCTTGTGTTGCTCCATTATATACTGAGGCATCATACATAGAGTCTTTTTTTGGATACTGGGGATTGAACCCAAGGGTACTTAACCACTGAGCAACATCCCAGCCCTTTTTATTTTTTATTTTGAGAAAGGGTACTAAATTACTTAGGACCTTACTTAGTTGCTGAGGCTGGCTTTGAACTTGTTATCCTCCTGCCTCAACCTCCCAAGCTGCTGGGATTACTGGCATGCACCACCACTCTTGGCTCGGGGGTATAATATATAGTCTTAAAGTAACAAAACCGGAGGGAAAAGTCAAAATTTCCCAAATTTATTCTTGGTATTCACTATGATACAGAGGACAGATCAAAAAATAGGCACTCACTGTCAGCCATCTGTACTTTAAAATAAGTGGTTAAGTGAAGGAAACACCATGATTTCATGATATTAAGAACAAATGAGAGGCTGAGATTGTGGCTCAGTGGTAAAGCACTTGCCTAGCATGTGTGAGGCACTGGGTTCGATACTCGGCACCACATAAAAATAAACAAATAAAATAAAGGTATTGTGTCCATCTACAACTAAAAAAACATTTAAAAAGAATAAATGATACCTTAAATCAGATAGTAGTAAGAATTATAACCTAGATAGGTGGAACAGCTTATATATGGGCTATATATGGGGACACACATTCATACACATAAAGATTTTTTTTTTTAAACTTTAAAAAGTTGCAGATCTTAACAGGTCACAGACATCTCAGGGTACCCACATTCATTTATCCATTCTTTCAACAAGCATTTGTTGAGGACTTATGTGTACTAGGTCCCAGGACAGTAATTTTTAAAGATTTCCATTATTTTGCTAAGATATTAACTTTTATTTCCAGGTAACTTAATAAAAGAAAAAACTTTTGATTTTGCAATATACTTTGTCAGCAGAAACTTTGAACAATTTTCTCTTGGAACAAAATGTTTCCAAAACCCCCAAAAGGTAAAAACTGTTGTCTTAAAAAGACTCCCTGGACAGTAATATGCGACGTTAGCAATAAGAAATTAGATGCCGGGATTTAAGGCAACTTTTTATATTACCCTTGTACTTTCCCAAAACCATTCTAAAATTAAAAACCTATTTAAATAAGACAAATATTGCCTGGAACTTCACCTGTTCTAACTGGTAAGAGGGTTCAGCCAGTTAGGGTTTTGAAGTAACACTTGGCACAGTCACTTCTTCAAAAAGGTTACAAATGATTGAAATGATTTGGCAAATTTCCTCCAACTCAATGATTTAATTCACATGAACTTGGGTGAAAGTCTCTATGGAGGGCAGCGTCACAGCCGGAAAGATCCAGAAGGACTTGGGGGAACAGGAGAAAGGGGCCACATCACAGGTTTCACCGGGTGGGTTTGATCTGGGCCACAGTCATCTCAGGTACGCACCTGCCTCCTTCCCACCTGATGGTTACTGTTTCTCAGAGCCCCCTATAAACTCCCCAGGCACAAGAGCCTGAGCTACAGGCCTAAGTACCAGGCAGTTGGAGAGCTTTATCAATTATCAGTCATCTACTAAGAATTCAGAGCTCTTATCTCTTACCTGATAAACCAGTGCCTGAGGACTGCTGTTACACAGGAAAACCCTAGTGACATTTGTAATGACCGCCTTCAGTGGTCAGAAGAAGTGTCTTTAAACACCTGGAATCACCCCAAGATGCCATTCCTTTTCCAAACCCAAGAGCCATTTTCTACCCTGGCAGAAAAGCCAACAGAATCCCTCAAACGAACATTTCAAATTTAAAAGGCAACATTCCTTTGCTCATGACAGGGAGATTGGAATGCAGATGCCAGGACCTGATTGGCTCCTGGAAAGTTCTTTCAAGACCAGTCATCCTTTGCTCAGTAAGTACCCTCTGCTATATCTTATTTGAAACATTTTATCTTAGGTTATGTTTCAAGCATATATAAAAGAACAAAAATAACAGATTCTCATTACTGAATACACAAAACAATACAATTTTCCATATTAGGAAAATAACCGAAAGCCCAATCCCAACCTTTTTCCTCTTTTCCTCCCTAGAACCAACCCTTCTCTAAAGTCCACATACACATCATTACACTGTTATTACTTGCAACAGAATTGGCATACTAGTGTTCTATGTTTTTAATTCTTACAGAAATCAGAATCATGTACGTACCATTTTATACTTGTTAGTTCCATTCAAGAGTGTATTTTGAGATTCATTCATGTTAACTGATATAAATCTAATAGTCATTTTAGCTTTGTATCTGTTCCAATGAATGAATGAATGAATGAATGAATGACTTATTTATCTCTTAGAATACTCTGGACAATAACATGTCCCTCTCTTCCTGTCACACCTCATACTGTAATACACACTGTATCCTCCTGTATGGTTCTTGCATGTACATGTAAATTTCTTTAGGATATTTGCCCAGAACTCAAATTAATAGCCACAAAACATGATCCATTTGATTACTGATTTGCTCTCTAAACTGAATGACGGTTTCATTTCCATCAGTGGAGACAGCCAAGAAAGCAAGTCAGTAACAGCGTCACCATCCTCTCTCTCCTTCATGGGAATGGTCCCATAGTGTGTTGGCCAGGATCTAAAGTCCACCACTTGGAACCTGCCAACAGGGGGACAGCGTGTCACACCAGCTCTAAGGGACATGTTTCTTCCTTCTCTAAAGCCTTCCAACATGAAGCAGTGAGAAACAATCTTAGCATAAATCTCATTGCCATCAGAGACCAAAAAAAAAAAAAAAAAAGGCAGATCAACAGTCTCAGAGGCTGCTGATTACTCTTCTATAACCCTCTCAGTATAACATCTAACATGTCAAAGTGACCCACAAAGCACTAGTGACTCAGCCAGCCATGCTCCTCCCTCTCAGACCTCATCTAAGGCTCTCCACCGCCCTCTACCCTCTGGCCAAGGAGCCATCAATCGGCTTCTGAAACTCCTGCTTTCTCCCACCATTTCCTCTGTCAAGAAAGCTTCCCACGCCCAGCCCAGAGCTCTGCTGCCTCCAGCTGACCCTTTCAGTCCCTGAACTCTCAGGAGTTGCTTCCTGAGAGTAGCTGTCTCTACCTCTACTGTCCGGATCAGATTGCTTTGTTAAAAGCTAACCCCAAACTGGGCTCTTCCTTAAGCTCCTGTAGTTAGACTCTCGTTAGTGTAATTTATTGAGTAACATGTGTCTCCCCCACAAGAATAGAAGCTCTGTGAGGACAGACAGTGTCTGTGTCCGAATCTTCATTGCCTGTTCAATGTACTTTTACTGAATGGACACAGAGATGAACTCAAGCCAGAGAAAAATAAAAACATTTTACTTAGTCTTCTATTTTTCATATTCATAACATGTGAGTTACGAAGTGGAATGGAAAAAAAAAATGAGGACCTGTCAATCTAGCAGTTCTTGGCCAGACATCTGTTAGGATTGAGGGAAAAGCAAGAGAGTGGAGGTTTGAAAGAAATGCTAGAGTCATCACAGCACACACGACTCAGGAAGATCAACTCACATAATAAAGAAAACCTATTTAAATTTGTTTAACCTCACATTTCAGAACTTATTTAGACCTCCAACTGCCACCTGTGTAACACATTTTGAGAAACGTAGGTGGAGTTCTGAGCATCAGAGTGGGCATGCAGGCATGCCTGGGTTCTCACCCCAGCTCTGCTGGACTTCAAGCCCATTCTCTAAAATACAAAGGTTAGGGAAGAAAATTTCTAAGGTCTCTTCAGCCCAAGATTTTAGGACCTTGGAGCACATTCTCAAGCACACACTGTTTGTAGACAGCAAGAACATGTACAGAGTGCAAGGCGCTCATCCTGTAAAGGAATAAATCTTGGACTGTGAAAAATACTCCTAGAGTAAGAAGCAAGACTCAAATGCTGGCCAAAAAGACCAAAGTAGGATACTTTGAAGATGGAGTAGACACATGGCCCAGCTAGGTGATCCATTATGTATAGTTAATGAGTTACCAGAAGAAACATCAGAAGTAGACACCAATTACCCCAGGACTGATAAGTCTCCCCGGGTGGAGTGATTTTCCTTCTCCTGGTAGACTCCACACTTCCACTCACTCAGTGGAAGCCTTACACGTCTTGCCTACTCAGGTGATCACCTATCTTCTAAGATTTATCTACAGATGCTTTCTTATATACCAAATCATTAATGATCAGAAGCTTTTGAAAAGGAGAAAAACAATTCACAAATAATGAAAAGCAATGACATCAATGACAAGGAAATTAAAGAAGTAATTACAGACCAAGTGTTCTGGGTGTCTTTTTTTTTGTTGTTTTTTAAGCAATTATGTCATGTGGATTGTCATTTGCAGCATAAAAGCTCACTGAATACAGGGAATCTGTAATATTGCTTTATGATATTTTTGAAAATAAAAAATAGAAAGAATATAAGACATAGGAGTTTCAATGCATTTACTCTTGATCACTTCCCTTTATGGATATCTAAAAGCCCAGGAGATTAGATAGTCCTCACTTTTTAGCATTTCCTAATATATTACTTTACTTAAGTTATTTAGAAAGAAGGAAAAGGGAAGGTAGTTCTGCCTATTCATTCTTTAAGACTCTTAGAAAACTGGCTGAGTGCTGCGGATTCTGCCTGTAATCCCAGGTACTTGGGAGGCTGAGTCAGGAGGATCACAAATTCCAGGCTAGCCTCAGCAACTTAGTGAGATTCAAAATAAAAAAATAAAAAGGGCTGACAATATATCTCAATGGTACTGTGTAAGTGTTCCTGGGTTCAATTTGTAGTGTGTTGGAAAAAGAACTCTCATAAATGCACATCTATAAAAAATATATTACGCTATTAGAACATCATCACTCATCCTTCAGAATGTATTTTGTGATTTCTTTTGATTATAGACAGCTTTAATATTTCCAACATTAAAGAAAAAGTCAACAAACGTTCTAGATTTAATGTGTTTAGAGTAAATTTCATCTAACTGAAATTATTAGCACTAAATTCAAATGCACACGGCAATTTTAAGGGGAAAATCATATATTCTATAAAAATTAAGATTTAATAAGGAAAATTAAAACATCCTAACAATTCTTCTAGAGACTTATTTAAAATTATCTGATGAAACATCCTAGATTTCAAAGTCACATGAGGTGAGCATAGATGGGATATTTGTTTCGTGTAAGATTGAAAGTTACTCTACCCCACACCCCAACAGAATGAGAGCAAAATAGGTCTGCATAAGTGCTTTTAATCAATTCAGTGCTTATTTTCACTATTATTATAGCTTATTTTAATCAGATTTAAAATTAAATAAGTTGTTCTTTTCTGTGCTTTTCGTATTCATGATATTGAGGTATCTGAGTCCTGACACTGAATAATATTACACATGTATTTTACTTGTCATATTAAACCTGTACTTTATTTGCTGTGCACAACCCCAGCCCCGTATTTGATCTTGAAACTGCTCTTGACCTTTCATAATCTAACATTAGACAACTTTACACACTCTAATATTACATAGTAGAAAGCACAGCCTGCACTTATTGTAGAAAAAGTAAGCCCAGATTCAGAAAAAGATTCATGCTACAGAAGTGTAAACACTGCTAGGGAATTAAAACTAATTTTCTGTAATCAAGACTTAAATTCCTTCCTCTGTCCTGAAAAAAATCTTAATAAACTCTCAAACTACAAAAGCTCTTATCATCTGAGATTAAGTAAACATCTTAATAAATTAAGAAAACATCATTAGATTATGATCTTTATGTAGTTTTTAATGTACTTTATTGAAATCTGGGGTTCATGGTCAAAATGTGTCTGAGAAGTTAGTTTAGAAGTTATTGGGCAACTAACCCCTGTTGGCAAAGTCTTGTGTTAGGTTTGTGTCCTATCTTACAACTTTATCCTATAGAAAGCACTTGGGTATTTTTCCTTTTTTACATATTCTATTCCTCTTTTTAAAAAAAAATATTTATTTTTTTAGTTGTAGTTGGACACAATACCTTTATTTTATTTATTTGTTTTATGTGGTGCTAAGGATCGAACCCAGGGGATGACACGTGCTAGGCGAGCGCTGTACCGCTGAGCCACAACCCAGCCCCATTCACCTACTCCTCTTTAAATATCATTAAGGAAGTATCTTTCACATATACAGCCTCAAGCGTCTCACCCACAGAGGCTTCACTCTGTTAGACTTACTTCCTTAGGATTATCTAATACAGTGGGATTTATAAAAAGACTTTTTATCATGGCCAAAGAGAAGGTCCATTGGTAATTAACCTTGCTTAACATATTTCTAAAAAATCCCATCTGGTTCCTTTAATCATCCATGACTTTTTGTTCCAGGAAGACAATCAAAAGGCGTGTTCTCTTCCTTCCTGTTGATTACATGTTCCATAAAAAGCTGATGAAAGCTCATGCCTGACTGGCCTAACCTCCGGACCGTCCACTGTACCCTGGACGGTAAGAGGCTGCCTGCCAGGGGATCCTTTCAAACACAGTTGACTGGGTGACACTCTCACTGCCTTTACCACATGGATTTGAAAGCTACAGGAAAGTGCTTTAAGGACCACAGGAAAATGCACCTATTTGGTTTAGAATAAATTTTTTTTTTAAAAAAAATCCTTCTTCCTTCTCTCTTTGGGGGGCAGGGGTGGTCGGGGGGTACCGGGATTGAACTCAGGGTCACCTGACCACTGAGCCACATCTCCAGCTCTATTTTGTTATTTTATTTATTTTAGAGACAGGGTCTCACTGAGTCACTTGGTGCCTCGCTTTTGCTGAGGCTGGCTTTGAACTTGTGATCCTCTGCATGGGCCTCTTGAGCCACTGGGATTACAAGTATGCACCATCACATCCAGCTCCTTCTTCCTCTTCCCTGAGAAAATTAGGAGTCTGAATGTAAATATTTTCACACTAAAAGATCTGACAACATTTAAGAGGATATTTGCAGTATAGGGTTAACAAAAGTAGAGAAAGAAAATAACTGTCTCTGGTTTCATTTATAAAATCAACCCCCCAAAAAAAAGAAAGAAAGAAAGAAAATTTGAGCTGCTAGATTCCCGCCCCCTTAGGAAATCGGTAAAGCAAATTTTCTTTTCTTTTGCCTTTTCTAATTTGCCTTTGTGCTCTTGACCCACGAAACTGTATCTGATTACCTATCTGTGAGGATAATATACCTAAATTGATGATTGACATTTTAACAGACTGAACAGTAATATTTCACCACTAAAATCTGGATAGTTTTCTAAGGGCTCTTTGTACAAGTGAGTTTCATAAATAACCAGTATGCTGAGGATTTAATTATGAAGTCAGAATGCTTGATTCGCGACCCTCTTTTCAGAGCCAAACACCTCTTCTTTCTTAGACTTATCCCAGAGAGTGTAATCACCAACACTTACCTTGTTTACTTCCCAGTCTTCCTCCAGCTCTTCCACTCCCATCAAGAGCCCAGTGGACTCCACCACCTCAGAAGTGGCCTGCCTCTGTCTGCCTGGCAGAGAAAACTTCTCATTCTTCTCTATTGAGCATTTTGATTTGAGAAGGCTGTTGAGATAATTTTCAGTCTCCTGTTTAGCAGATTCAATTCTGTTTTCCAAATCTTTTTGTTTACACGTAAGTGATTTTATATCATCTTTAATAATAATCTGTCCCACTGAAGATGTATTTTGCTTGATGGATTTTGCTAATGCTAAAATCTTCTTCAGTGTGCCATCTTGTAAACTGAGTCTACTTTCTAGTTCCTGTGAATGGAGAAAAGATTATTGTCAAAAGCCACTCCATTGAATTGTCAGAAGAGCTGGCTTCTGTAAATTACAGTGCTACATTAGTAGAAATCATGTATGAAAAACTCTATCAATGCATACCACAGAGAAGAAACTTTGGGTAAAATTTAAGCCAATATAGCATCAAAACAGATTTTATAAGGATATTTGCAACAAGTAATGCAGTAAATGTTTACAGCATAGGTTGTAAAACATAGGAGGTGGTCAACAGATATTTGTTGAATATTCATGTTTTGTTTAAGATATTCTTTCCACAAGTGAAAACTCTAAAGAAAAGTGCCTGCTATGTGTAAAGTATTAAAAAGAAGAAAAGAACCATGTGCCCACATGAATCTAATTCTAATATTTAAAATTCAAAGATTTGGAGGTGATGAGAAATAAAACTATCAGGTATACTCTCTTAGATACGGTAGAAATTCAATCAATAATTACAACACGCATGAACAAATGAGGCTAATTTGAAAACTCCAGACAGAAGAAGAATTTGAAGTACCACAGTAGCCAATGAAGAACTTTAAGTATTACAGTAGCCATTAATGTTACTGGTGAAATGAAATATGTCTTATAGTATTCTATGGACTGTGCGGGATTCATTAGTCACTAACTTAAAGGGCAATAAGTATTCACTCATTCATTTAACTAACAGTTAAGTACTAGGATAGGTTTTGAAGTTACATAAATGAATAAGAGTCCCTTCAAGTTCATATAGTTGAGTGGTACAGACAGGTCACAGGTAGAATTATCTCCAAAGGCCACTGAGTCAGAGTACAGTTCAACTCAAATTACAAATGGATTTGGCCACTAAAGAACAATGTTCCCATTGTTTTGACTTTTCAGAACTTTTGCTATCTAAGTCATTTGAATAACACTTAAATTTCTGATCAAAACCACTGATTAGTCAAGTTCTAATGAATGTTGATTTTTTCCAAAAATGTCTACCATATATGGACATTGTTTGATACCTGCAGTTTCTGCAATTTGTCCTCAATTGCTGTTTGATCCACCGGCAAATCAGAAAAACTAACTAATTCCATGGAGATATTGTCCAATGTGGTATTCAGCTCTTTGATGCAAACCTCGTATGAATGGTGTTCTTCAACATGATCCTCTAATTTTTGCACAGAATCCTAAAAATAGGAACGATTGACAATTACCAATTATTTCTCTCTGAATTTTTCACTTTATAAATTACACAATTTATAAATATTTGTTTTACAAGGTTCCACCTTTTGAGAGTGTGTTCTGCCAGGCACAGTGGCACAAACCTATAATCCCACAAATTGAGAGGCTGAGGCAAGAGGATTATAAGTTCAAGTTTAGTGTGGTAACTTAGCAAGAGTCTGTCTTAAAATAAAAAATAAAAAGGGCTGGAGATGTAGCTCAGTGATAGAGTGCCTCTGGATTCAATCCCCAGTAGCACAACAGAAAAGCCGAAATATGTCCACAACTGATCCAGAGTTCTGAATTAAAGATCTCAGTGTCTGAGGTATTTCACTGCAAAATCTGCATCTTTCCCTAAAAAATGACTCAATAAAAACACTTGTTCTTCTCATGCTTTATTGCCCTCATTTCCTTCCAGAAGATAATTTTTTTTGGTAAGCAGTTTACAAAAAGAAATAACTATAAATTATATCCTTAAATCACAAACATCCATAGTAAACCAGGTGCCTTCATTATCTGTTGCTTTAAAACCAAGAATTCACAGCTGGAGATGAGACTCTACAAGATCAACCTCACCCCATTCCTAAGAATCAAACTCAAATCTTACGTTAGGAAAAAGTCATCCTAACTCAAGAGCAAACCATTTTCAGGTTCCCTCTATGGGGTAAGAAAATAAGATAACCACATCTGAACTGAGCAGCTAGTATTAAACAAAGTGATATATAGTCACCTTAATCCCTTCCCAACTCTTAATATCTAGACAACAGGATTTCTTACCGGGGTAATCGTTACTTTAAACCCAGCTTTCAGTGTGCAAAGAATTACAAACAGTTCTATTAAAAGAATATATTCTCTCTTAACAAGCTGACGATTTACCTCAATTCTTTCACTGCAAATAATGTCCTAAGATTTAAGAGAGGGGCACTTATAAGAAGGTAGGAACAAGATAAATGAAATGTCACAATGTGGATGGATGAACGGGTAGGTGGATGAATGGACGGATAATTCGAACACTGTCCTTTTCATAGAGATGCCTAGAATCTTAAGCCATTCAACCCCTAAAGAAACAAACTTCAATGAAAGGTAATAACATTATCATCAAATAACCCACAGTGGATTCATCTAGCAAAACTGTTTGGATTCCTCAATCTTTGAAAGTTGGCATTTTCATCTGTTATGGTTTGGATGTGAGGAGTCCCCAAACATCACGTGTGAGACAATGCAAGAGGGTCCAGAGGAGATGTGATTGGATTATGAAAGTCTTGACCCAACCAGTGGGTTAATCTCCTGATGTGATTAACTGAGTAGTAAATGAAGGCAGGTGGATATGTCTGGAGGAAATGGAGCACTGGGGGTGTGGCTTTGAGGTATATATTTATATCCGGCAAAGATATTTGTATCTGCTTTGTGATCATCATGTGAGATGCTTTCCTCTGCCACACTCTTCTGCCATGATGTTCTGCCTCACCCCGAGCCCTGAGGAATGGAGCCAACCTTCTATGGACTAAGACCTCTGAGACTGTGAGCCTTCCTCTAAAGTTGTTCTGGTTGGGTCTTTTAGTCACAGCTGACTAAAACATCGTGTAAAATGATAAATTAACTTTTGAAAGCTTTAGGCTTACCAAAAGAATGACAGCCAAGCAATAGTTCTGAATATGAATCTTGCATCAATAGAATGATTGCAACAATCATTTAAAATTGTATTTATCAAAGAATAAACTTCACCTGCAGTTGTTGAAGAAGACTCTCATGTAGATGTTTTATTTCCAGCCAAGGCTCCTCACTGAAGCTGGGATTTTTAGTGCACTCCAAGAGGTAATTTCCTTGAGATTTTAACTCCTTTAGCAAGGATGTCAAATCTTGTGCTTTCTGGAGGAATTTCTTATAAATTTTTAACTGGGCTTTCTTCTCTGGCAGAGCATGTTGAAGGGCAAAGCCTGCTTCTTGCTTCTTCCTTAGTTCTATGAGCATTAATCTCAAGTCCTCTTTGCTTTGCAAATACTTTTCCCCTTCTAGCAGAAGCTTTTCTTGATGGCTAAATTTCACCAAATATTTTATAAATGAAATAACAGCAAAATGGAAGGGCTTTTTGCATACTAGAGTTGAACACACATTATAATCAACAGCATTACAATAATACTAATTCACATTATTTCCAGAGACTCTTTAGGCAATATAATATTCTAAAATGGCACTAAATTTAGCTCAGAAATCGAGGCATAAATTATTTGCATAACTAAAACATAATTATTTTTTGTTACATAGTTTGATCAGAGAATATTTAATACTTTAAATTTCAAACTAGTCCCAATGGTTTTGTTAAACTCAAATGTAATTCTTACATTTCTTACAAAAGTAAAATAAGCATTCAATATATTAACCAATTAACTGGCTTGTGCTTTCTGTATCTTCAATTTAGTTGTAATTTGGTGGTCTCTTTAGAAAAACATAAGCTTCACATTTCAAAACATGAAATGTACCATTTAAGACCAGATCAGAAATAAGAATGTTCTCCAGAAATATGTCTACAGAATTCGGCCAACATTTATCAATGTTTCCACTTTAAGAATTTCTTAAGAAAAATATTCCAAAGCATCAGCTACTCCACAGTGATGCCATGCAGGCTCTGAGGGCTGACTGAGGGGAGGGGGTTGGCACAGAAGCAGGTATCGTGAACATGGAATGAGAGGTGACGTGACTTGGTTTGGAAGAACCCCACAGGATGATGCACCAGATACACTGCCTGAGCACGCAGCAGCCGTTTCATATCTGACCTGGACTATTTCTCTTGCCTTGGACACCACTGACTTTCTCTCCAGTAGATATTATATCCAAACCCAGACACCAGACAAAACATACTTGTTATGACTCCTCTGAGTAATGAGAAAAAACACAAGCAGGGACAGCACTCCCACCCTCTACCTTAGGTATGTGCTGGCCAGATGGAGCGTGCTGTCCCACTGGTTGGTGATATCAGCAAGGGTCTCCTGCACCAACGGGGCCTCACAGCTCTCGGCTTGTCTCGTAATGGTCTGTATTTTGGCGTCCCCTTCAGGCTTTAGTAAAATGATTTCCTGAAGCACAAAATACAAAAGATCTTATCATTTCATTCATATTACTTAGACGTTTTACAGAGCATAAAGCTTACAAATAAAAAGATATCCTAAGATTCTAACTGCAGAGCATATTTCAAAATAACCCTTTCATTTTCATATATGCCCCCAATACAAAGACATCCCCTTCACATTTATAAAGAGTTGGTTCTCGATAAACATCTGTCAGTTGGAGCTGATCAGGATCAGGAGGTGAGTTCCTATTCACTGTCTCATTTTCAACTGCTTTCTTAATTTCATATGCTAAAAAAAAGCTGGATAAATCCTCCTTCCTATTCTCTTCTATTATTTATAAATGGAGAATTAGGGCAGCAAACTAAATAAGACCTTCTTATTCAACCCAGAATAGATTTATGGCCTCCCATAGGAAAACACAGCTTCCCTCTCAGTGTCAACTCTTATTTCTCCACCCTGACAACAAATCGTATTCTCTGTTCTCATATCCCTCTTTTGCCCTGACAACTCAGTTCTCTCCCTCTTGTAAAATCTACTTGAGATTTGCCATCAAAGAAAACATTCAGACATAATCCCAAATGATGCTGAATACTAAGTATCACCACCAACCCTCTCAGCTCACTCTTCTTGAGCATCTCTTCCTCTAAAAAATGCTTCAATTTATGTGAGTCCAATAAGTACACAGGCTTCTATGCCCTGCTTTTATTTTTTTGAGACTGGGGTTCAATAAGTTTCCCAGGCTGGCCTTGAACTTTTGATCCTGGTTCCTCAGTCCCAAGTCACTAGGATTACAAGGCGGGCAGCATCATAGCTGCCTTGTGCCCTGTACTTTAAACTAGCAATATTCACTGAATGAATCTCCCCTTGGAGAGAAAGAGGACTCCAAGAAGCATGAGATTTCTTTTTCTTCACCTCCACTAAGCATCTAGTAAGCCTTCTGTGAGCATATAAACCCACCCCAAGAAATACTCTCCACCCTGCACTGGACCTTGCTAATGCCTCTACTGTACAGACATACATTCACTTTTGTATCCTAGCACCTGCTGTGGCTCTGATCTATTGTCTTTATTTCAATTCTTCTGCATGCAGTGAAGATGGAAAATAATTGGGTACTGCCCTCTCAAAGACAGGATATTCTTTCTCTCTTTCATATGCATTAAAATAATTTTAGATCCATCATAACCCTTCTCTTTTGTAAGCTCAGTGATTTGAATTTCTTCAACCATTCCACAGTGATTCTATTAAGAAACAAATCTTTGCAGTTTCTTCTAAATCTTTTCAAAATTAGAGTTCACTCTGACCTCTCAAATTCAGTTTCCAGTTATACCTTTATTTTTTGGATTCTCTCCTCGAGTGGCATTTTGCCTTCAGATGAGTTCAAAGCCATAAGAGACTCTTTAATCTCTTTTATCCAATGAATCACATCATGTGCAAGATCATTAAAGCTCTGGTCCTCAGCAGGTGGCAACTTAAATTCTTCTTCAATTTCATGTAATTGTCTCAATAATGTCTGGTATCTTTCAATCAAACATGTTGATTCGTTTATTATTTCATCTTCCTCAGTAAACCCATGGTCCTTCAAAGAGTCATTCAACTGGACCAGAGATTCAAACTGTTCCCTGTAATTTACAAATAACATTGAAAGTTTATAGGAGTCACTCCTACACAGTAGAAGAAATCATATTCCCAAGTAATATATTTCATATTAGATCATGATACCTCTTTTCAGCTAATGCTTGACAAAATAGCTCAGTTTTCTCTCCTGATTCTTCCATTTCTTTCCATTCCTCTTCTTGATTAGTCAACCACTTACTCAGGCTTCTGCAATCATCCTGCAGTCTAAAAGAATATTACAAAGATCAGGATATATTTTTAAGCAAAAAATGTTTATACTCAAGAGGATAGCAAGAACCTTGTCAGTCAATCAAGTTTTTACTATCAGTTTTATTTTTTGAGAAAACTTGTAACATATAAAACCTGAATAACTGCCTATATTATAATGAAATTCATTAAAGTAATGAACCATACAAAAGTATCACAAATAACAGGAAAAAACCCAAAATGTTTGGACTGTACCCTGAACCTTTGCCATTAGTTAATTTGTAGAAACTCCTAGCACCAAACCTGAATTCAAAAGTCTAGCCAGGGCAGTGTACACTTGTAACTCCAGCTACTTCAGAGGCAGAGGCAGAAGCAGAATATTGGAGGCCAGACTGGACAACTTGGCAAGATCCTACCTCAAAATAAAAAATAAGAAGGACTGGGGATTGAGGCTCAGTGGTAGAGCACCCCTTGGTTCAATCTGCAATACTTAATTAATTAGTTAATTAATTTTTAAAATGAAGTACAGTCCAGGGCTAGGAGCATAACTCAGGGGTACAGCACTTGCCTAGCACACATGAGAACCCGAGTTCAATACCGAGTGCCCCCCCTGCCAACACACACACGCACACATGCATACACACAAACACACACACACACACACCCAAAAAAAACCCAAACCACAAAGAACTACAACCCTAGTTGGCCCTCTGTATCTGTGAGTTCCACATTCATGAAGTGAGCCAACCACAGATCAAAAATATTTGGAAAAATAGAAATTGTATCTATACTGACTTTTTTTTTCTTTGTACTTCCCTAAACAATACAGTATAACAGCTACTTGCATAGCCTTTAAATTGTATTAGGTATTACAAGTAACCCAGAGATTTAAAATACATGAGATGCCCTTAAAGTATCAGGAACACAAATTCTGGTTTTTGTTTTTGCTAAATATGAATAAAAAAAGACACACAATTCCAAGAATTACCATCTCATGACCTTAAAAAGAAGCCCTACATAATGGCCCCAATGGTTAAAAAAAAAAGCAATCCTGAGAAATGGAAGATAGAGATATTAAGTCCTGATCATGTTGTTTGAACCAACTACTCAAGCTCCTGTTAAGCTATATGTAACTCAATTTTTCAGTTCTATGAATTATTAAATTGCTTTAAAAAAAACAAAGGCAGTTAGAGGGGGCTAGGGTTGTAGTTCAGTGGTAGAGCACTCGCCTTACACATGAGAGGCACTGGATTCAATCCTCAGCACCACATAAAAATAAATAAATAAAGATATTGTATCCATCTACAACTTAAAAAAAATATTTTAAAAAAGGCAGAAATAAAGAGAAATATACTGTTGTTTATAACCTAAAGCATCTCCTCTAATAAGAATCAATATTACTGTCTCATCAGAAGATGAAAAGGGTTCTTAATAATAATTAAAATAAATCAAATAGGACTTCCTGAAATTTCACATTAATATACAAGGGTTATATGCAAATATTATGCATTTTATATAAGCAACTTGAGCATCTGTGGATTTTGGATGCTTAGATACCAAGGAATAATTATATCTATTTTACCTATTAAATTTGTATGTACTGCATATCACAGCATACACTGTACTGAGGAAGAGCACTCGAGAAATAACTCTAACAATATCCCGTGAAAACGTTATTCAGATATCACCTTGACTTCGTACCTCAGTAGCTGCTCCAGGTAGTTATCGAGTTCCTTTGCCTGGGCCTCACATATGGACACCATTTTTTCTAATTCAACTTCTTGACTCACAAGCCAACTGTTAAGCTCTTTAACATGGGCTTTAGGTAGGTGCTTCTTCACATGCTGCAATACAGTTTCTACCTGCTGTATTTTACTGCTTCTTCCTTCAAGAGTCAAGAAATCCTTAGGAAAGACAAAAAATCAATTATGATCTAAAGGGAGTCACCTGCCACCCCCATGACACTTCTCCAACGCAGTACACAGATGTTGCCAGTTCCCAGGTAACGTTCTCACAGAAGGAAAGTAATGAAGGGGTGGCTAACTCCAATGGTAGATGACCTATGGTAGTTCTGGATGTGTGTATCCATTTGCACTTGAATCTGACTTTCTGGATATCACATCTAGCATAGCAGTACAGAGCCACCAGGAGGTCCCTCAGAGCAGGACCAGGAAAGCTACATTCTCCTCTCCTGGCTCTGCTCAACTCTTCCTAAATACTTGCTCTGACATCCTTATATAAAACTAAACACTATTTTCCATTTAACCTTTCCAACACCAGAATTTTTTTTCCCAATGTTTGTGTTTCAAAGGTTTGGGTGTGAATTGCTGAGGCCCACGAAATGGGCAAATTAAAAGCAAGAGAAAAAAAAAAGTGGGGCTTTAAAGAAACAAGAAAGATGATTCCATTAATAAAGCATAGTACCATTAAAACAATAAATTAAACAAAATGTTTAGTGCTTTCAATAAGCTTGAGAACATGACTTGTCATCAAAATATTAATGTACTACTAGATAATCTACCCCAAAATGATCAATATTTAAGGGTGCCAAAGGTATCTTACAAGCTCTGTACACTCAGTGCTCTGTCCAGCTATACATTAAAGTTCAATGGCAATTTTTATCAGAAATATGACTGGGGGGCTGGGGTTATGGCTCAGTGGTAGAGCACTTGTCTGGCATGTACAGAGCCCTGGGTTCAATCCTCAGCATCACATTAAAAAAAAATAATTAAAAGGTATTGTGTCCAACCACAAGTTAAAAATAAAATATTAAAAAATTTTAGAAAACATGACTGGGAAAATAATTAAATGAAGTCATCTTTTTTCAAGGGAAAAAAAGAAATTTTATAGTCCAAATTAGGTGAATTCTTCATCTTTGATCAAACATGATTTTAACACAATTGAATTAACTAAAACAGCATCTTAGAGTAGTACCAAAGTGGAACTTGTTTAAGCTACTTGCACACTTAACTCAGTAAAAACAGAGTTCCAAAATATTTAGGAAAAAAGCCTGGTTACTTGGAACTATCATCTGTTAAGTAAAAAAAAAAAAATAGTCAAAGTAATTATTATTTTATCTACTTAAAATTAAGTTTCAGGCTGCCAATATTTTAGTTATGATAGACTGATTAAAACGTACTTCTGCATTTTAATATGTATACATGTGTATCTTACAGAAAGTATTTGCAGCTTTTGTTCCACACTCTTTTTTGTTTCTGATGAGTCGAAGCACTCTTCAAGCCTCACTTTAATCTTGCTGAACCAGTCATTGAAGTTCTTGCATTGATCTACAGGAAGTAAGGGAGAAAAAAGCTCTATACATTCCAGCAGAATTCCATACACCTTATTACGTAAGAGATTTTATAACCTGCTTCCTACACCATCCTGGAAAGTGGTCATACATCCTGAAATCCAATTATGAGGCCTAATATAGTCTACAAAGTAATTTGGTATGTTTTCCACCAAATCTCCCTCTTATTTATTTATTTATTTTTGGGGAGGGGTGACGGGGACTGAGGATTTAACCCAAGGGCACTTTTCCAATGAGCTACATCCCCAGCCCTTTTTACTTTTTATTTTGAGACAAGGTCTTACTAAGTTTTTTAGGGCCTCACTAAGTTGCTGAGGCTGGCCTCAAACATGCAAACCTCTTGTCTCAGCCTCCCGAGTTACTGGGATTACAGGTGTGTGCTACCACACCTGGCCAAACCAAATCTCCTTTCAAAGACACTTGTAGAGACAGATCACAAGCAGGCTTCCAGACTCATGGAGCATAGTTGAGTAGTTCAAACTTAACTTTTAAATTAAGATTTGGGGCTTTAAAGAAAAACACATTATTTAATGCCAGGCATTAATCAGTAAGTATTTCCCCCCAGAGATTTTATCCAAATATTATTCCTTTAAATACAGTCTGTGCAAACCATTTATAAGTCAGGCTTAGATTAGTTTTTGGGTTCACAATACTATCTTCATACTTCAAGTAAGAGGAACATCACACTCACCATTCAATAATGAAGAAAAGTGATCTTGCAAAACACCTTTTTTGGTATTAAATAAATCGCTGACACTTTCATATTGCCTCTTCAATTCAGAGAGTTCAGGGGTGAGACAACCTATTTGATGCTCAAGTACTATCATGTTGTGCTTCTGCTGTAGAATTTCTTGTTGTATCTCCTACAGATGTAAACAAACAACCACCATTAAGTCTTAAAACAGGCTCAAGTCACAGATGCCAGACATCTCAATTGTTTTTAAAAAGTCTACAAGATTTTGAATGAATGGATTTGCTTTCTCTTTGCTAGCAGGTGTACAATCCATTGCAAATTTAATTTTAAAAAGTTACTGTAGATAGAGCAATTCAAACATCAAAGTGCTGAATACACAGAAACTGATTTTCTGGGTATCTCCCCCCCCCCAGAACGTCCATTTCTTTCTGTTTTTGTTAACGGAAAGAAGTCAAGACCATGAAAAATGTGAGAGTAAGCCTGAAAATCAGAAGATGAGCAGCTGGGCAGCACCTCGAGTTTAGTGAAAATCTCCAAGCTGTCGGAAGGAGATAGGGCTTTCAAGAGGGACTCCGTCATCCCGATCTGGGTCTTGGCTTGGTCGAGATCCTCCTTCAGCTCAGCTGTGCTGCTACCAAGCTCGAAGCAATTGGACTCTCCTGATATATACTTTTTCACATGTTCCATCTTGTTCAAAATAGAGCGTTCCATGACCTGAAATCATGCAACATGTAGTTCTGTGGCGGATATTATTGAACTAGACTGCAAGGCAAAGGCATTGCTGGAAAGTAACAAGACTGCTTCATTTCAATATGAAAAAAAAATTATTCTCATTGCTCTACATTACTCTATATTACCAATACAATGATAGGAACATTGCCTTGGGAAAAAAATAAAGAATAACATAGAAAAACTGAAATTAGCATTATGACTTTTTTTCTAAGACATTTATTGGAATCCTTCCCCCAAAATAAGTTTTATCTAACATATCAACTGAAGTAATATCTCAAGGCACTTAAGAGATAAGACAGATAAGATTAAAACACACAGAAAAAAAATTAGACAGCAATGATTGCTTTTTATGTATACAGCATCCAGGTAAGAACTTCCTGTGCAAAATACAGGCTTAAGAAGGTTGAATATCAGGACTGGGGCTGTAGCTCCTCAGTACAGAGCTTACCTACCACGTGGGAGGTGCTAGGTTGAATCCTCAGCACCACATAAAAATAAATAAATAAAATAAAGGTATTGCGTCCATCTACAACTAAAAACCATTAAAAAAAAAAACCAACTACAACAACAACAACAACAAAAAAAAAGAAGGTTGAATAACTTGCCCAATACAAAGCTAGTAGGTGATACAGCCAGGATGTTACCTACAAAGTACCTCCAGAGTTCTTATTTAACCACTGTGCAACCTGATCCAAATAAAATTGAGAGAATTATCTTCATACAACAGAAAAATCACACTTGGAGCAACCTCCCTTTTTCTCCACCTAGCAATTAATAAATCTTAAGAATATGACTTGAGTCATATTCTCTTTCCTGCACCCAAGACATTCACAAGAAATTATTATTACTTTACATGGAAACACAACCACATGTGACCCTTTACATAATACACCTGTAAATGAGTGAAAGGAGAACAGTAGAGTGCAAAAATACAATATTCTTCATGCTAATCATGGAAAAAAAATCATTATCTATGCCAACTACAAAATTTGGTTGGATTTAACATAGAAATCAAATAAATAATGATCCTAATTTTATGTTTAAGATTTAGAATGCTTGGTTTATGAACACTATTTAGAGGCTTTAGAGAATCTTTAATTGAGGATTTTAAGTGGAAATTCTCTTACCTGCAATTCAAGTGGTTTTTCATTACTTTGAAGCAGAAACTGTATTTCGGTCACTCTTCTAGAAAATTCTGAAGTTTGTTGTTCATGGACTTGTAACTCTTCCTAAAACACATAATTTTAAAGGAAAATATCTTCTTATTTCATCACCAATTTTCCGGTAGCCATGATTATTATTGCTGATAGAAACTGAGAGTGCCTTTGAATTTCCTTTAATCACTTGTTTTTTGACAGAGTCCTGGGAGTCAGAAACTGAAGTGCCTCTACAGGTCAGATAATTGCTATCATTGAGTGACGCATTCTAGTTTTAAGGCAATAGAGAGAGGAAAGGCCTATGCTGCAGAACTGCATGGTCTGCCTTAAAGTATTACAAACTTCTTAGATATGTGTGTTCGGGCTGTGAATGATTTGTCCACACTTGCAGGTTTTGGCAGGTTTTGGCAGGTTTGGCCCATGGGCTGGCAGTTTATATTCCTTAACTTCAGATTTCTAAACAACCTATAGTTCAAGACAAATTTAAATGATTCTTAGAGATGATTCATTTATACTTAAGAGAATCATTGTTTTAATTTGTAACTACCATCACATCTCCAGGAAACCAAAAATCTTCACACATTTTAAAAATGGTTTCCATAAAAATGGATGTATGAATTAAAAAGAGAATGAAATACAAAGAGGGATAAAATGATATCGAAGCATTTGCTTCACGCACACATACAGTTTTATATTACATAAATCCACAAAAAACTGCCAACCTTTGTTTTCTCACCCAGTAAGATGATGATTTTACATGATAAAAACCCAATAATACATGAGCAAACAAGTGGTTAGAAAGCATTCTTTCAGAGTTAAGAGACAACTTTAATTTTTTCCAAATAACAAAGTCTGAGATTACTATTTTAAAAAAACAAAACAGCTTTTTTAAGTTCTATAAAGACACTGATTCTCATTTTTCTTTTTTTTTTAATAATCTTTTTGAGGGACTGTTGAATTTAAATAAATGTTGTCTATATCAGGAGGCTCTAGATCAGGGGTTAATAAACTATAGCCTCAGAGCTGAGAGCTTCTTTGTGTAAATATTTATTGGAACCCAGCTACTTCCAAGGATTTTTGAACTTTTTATCAGTTTGATGCTATAACAGCAATGATGAGCAGTTATTGCAGAGACAGAATGATCCATAAGCCTAAAATATTTAATATATGGCCCTATAAGAAAAGATTTGCCTATCCCTGGGGTATACACTACCTTTACTTGGGAACAATAATACATTTTGTTAGAACTTCTGCAAAGAGTTCTTAACTTTTTTTTTTTTAAATACTATGTACCCCTTGAGCAATTTGTGAAGTCTATGGGTCCTTTGCATAATAATAATTGAAAAATAAAACATAAGGAAAATTATATAATGTTACAAATGAAAATAATTACACTGGGTTATAATTATCATAATATTAAAAATAATGTTGACATATATTGCTTCATGTTTCTCTATTAATACCTTAAATGACAAGATCCAGCAGTGGGCCCACTATATCCCTTGCTTTCAAACTAGTGATAAGGATACAGGTATAAACAACCAAATAATGATCCCAAATATCTGTGATTTTCTTTCTTTTCTTTTTTTTCTTTTTTTTAAATCTGTGATTCTCTTGATAATGAAGTCACCTATGATGCTCATCCTACCATGTATGTTGCCTATATTCATAATTGAAACAAGTGCTATATTAAACTAGATGTTTGTGAAAATAAAGATGCAATCTTTTGCCATCCAAGATCATTTTATCCATGAACTCCCTTGGTGTCCGTGAACCCCCTGTTAACAGTATCCTCTATCACCTTCCTGGATGTCACAAAGGAATGGATAGAGTTCAGGTTCCTCTCAAGGAATAAATAAAAGAGATAAAATATTTCTTTGTGATTTTTTTGTCCTGATCCAAGAGAGCAAACTCAGTATTACAGTGTCAACTGCGTGCAAACAAAACATCTATGACCAAAAATAAAATAAAATAAAATAAAAATTTTAAATCTGATTTTGAATAAAATTTCAACTTATAAAAAAAAAATCTATGTTATCTCTGTTGAATCACCTTCAGCCTTTCTCTGTCCTCTTCAGTCAGCTGTGAATTCCTTTCTCGAAGCACATTTTCAGTCCACTCATCAACGACACTTTTCAAATTAAAAAGTTTGTCCCATAAAGCCAGAGCTCGACCAAGATTTTCATAGTAGTCTTCTGTCTTCTCATTTATCTACCATAATGTAAAAGCAGAAGTAACACTTATGTAGTGGTGAAAAGAAGTAGGAAAACCACTGTTCTGGTCAAATACTATTTCTAAAATAAAATTTGAGTTTGAATTTATTATTACTGGAGAAATAATCTGTTTTATGATCACCAAAAATATTATTTAATCTACCATGTACTTCTTTCTCTTAAAAAAAATTGTAGTTCACTTGCTATATCTTATATCAATTGAAAGCAATAGTCTTCCTAATGTCTAAACCACAATTTTTAAAAAATATGCTTTTTATTTATTTATTTTTTAATATTTATTCATTTTTTTTAGGTGTAGATGGACACAACACAATGCTTTTATTTTTATGTGGTGCTGAGGATCGAACTCAGGTCCTGCCCATACTAGGCGAGCACTCTACCGCTGAGCCACAATCCCAGCCCCCCAAAATATGCTTTTTAAAAGCAAATGAAATATAATACAGATAAATCCTTAGTTTGTAATTCATAAACATGTTATTACTTCTCAACCGAAAACATACAGTTAAATATCAATATCCTGCACAAATGCATAATAGATTAGTTAGTTTATGTACATAAGTTGAGTAACTATTTTTGTACCTAGAAGATTATAGACCCATTTATTAGTAGTGCCTAACTCTGGGGTGAAATTAATTCCTGAGTTATAAACTTCATATTATTTGAACATATTTATGACAAATATAGTTTAATTTTTCAATTAGGAATACTAAAGATATTCACCCAAAAGATTAATTTGTTATAAAATAGAATTTGTAGTCAATAAAATAATCACGTACATCAAGCCATCGATCCACGATAACGTTAGCCTCTTTTGCAAAAGGGGGCTCTTCAAAGGTTTTCATTTTATTTAGATAAAATTGTAGATTTTTACAGATCTGGTTTATCTTGTCAACTGATTCTAAATGTTCATTAAATTCTTCTTTGACAATTTCAATCTGTAAAAAAAGATATGAAAGATATTTTTGAAATATTGACATAGGCTAGTAAAAAAAGTCACAATTCTATTTTTGTGTTTTATGATCATAACAAAGAATAATTCTTTCTTACATTGTTCTTTAAACAGTTTTTTTTTGAGAGAGAGAGAGAATTTTAATATTTTTTTTTTTTAGTTTTCGGTGGACACAACATCTTTGTTTGTATGTGGTGCTGAAGATTGAACCCGGGCCGCATGCATGCCAGGCGAGCACACTGCTGCTTACATCCCCAGCCCTTTAAACAGTTTTTATTGTCCCATTTTCTCTACACTTTCTAGTATATAGAATATTAATTAATTTAATGATAATCCTACACTCAAATTTCCTCCTACTCTGCATTATGAGAAAGTTATAATGGTCAAAAAACATTTCTAGCCATGAGAAATAAGATTCTGTCAAAAAAAAAGCATATCCATTTAAATGGATAAAATGTGTGATAGTCCCTATATTTCTCTACTAAAAACTGTATCTTTAATGTCAAAGAACTTAAGTGCTTATCAGAATAAATAAACAGAATTCAAAAGCTCTAATATTAATTTTTTAATCTTCCTGAAGGTGAAATACTACTTTATAAAAAGAAAATCTCCTATATAAAGAACTCAAAAAACTTAACAGCAAAAAAAAAAAACAATCAATAAATGAGCAATGGAACTGAGCAGATTCTTCACAGAAGAAGAAATACAAATGGTCAACAAATATATGAAAAAATTTTCACCATCAATAGCAATTAGAGAAATGCAAATTAAAACTACACTGAGATTTCATCTCATGTCAGTCAGATGGCAATTATCAAGAATACAAGTAACAATAAATGTTGGCAAGGATATGGAGAAAGAGGTGCACTCATATATTGCTGGTGGGACTACAAATTGGTGCAACCACTCTGGAAAGCAGTATGGAAAACTTGGATTGGAACTACCATTTGACCCAGTTATCCCAGTCCTCGGCACTTACCCAAAGGACTTAAAATCAGTATACTGTAGTGACAGGGCCACAAACAATGTTCATAGCAGCTCAATTCACAATAGGTAAGCTATGGAACCAACAGAGGTGCTCTTCAATAGATGAATGGATAAAGAAAATGTGGTACATATACACAATGGAATATTACTCAGGCAAAAAAAGATTGAAATTATGGCATTTGCTGGTAAATGAATGGAAATGGAGACTATCATGCTAAGTGAAATAAGCCAATCCCAAAAAACCAAAGGCTGAATGTTGTCTCTGATATGTGGATGCTGACTCACAATGGAGTTCACTGGATTGAACAAGGGGACTTGGGTGAAGGAAGAGGGAGTGGGAATGTGAAAGAAAGTAGAATTAATTGGATATAACTTTCCTATGTACATATATGAATACATAAATAGTGTAACTCCACATCATGTACAGCCACAGAATGGGAAGTTATATCCCATGTGTGTATGATATGTCAAAATACATTCCTACTCTCATGTAAAACTAAAAAGAATAAAGTAAAAAAGAAAGAGAGATAAGAAAGAAATTAATTCTCCAATCACTTAAAAACTAAACAACCTAGTCTTTCTTTGGTTAGTATCCATGTGCAGTTGGTTCCAGAACCCCCCAGTGCACAACAAAATCCACAGATGCTCAAGTACACGATAAAACATGGCAGAGTATTTTCGTATAATCTATGCATGGTCTCCTGTGTATGTCTGATCATTTCTAGAGTACATATACTTAAGTAGCTTTTATACTCTATAGTTTAGAAAATAATGATAAGGAAAAAAAAAGATCTGTCCATATTCAGTACCAACATAATTTTTAAAAACTACACTCTGCAGTTGGTTGGATCTGCACATGAAGAACGCATGGATATTTAGAAATACTAAATATTTCTAAATATGGGTCAAAGAGTAAGTCTCAAGGGAAAATCTTAAAATATATCAAGCAGAATGAAACTGAAAATAAAACATCAAAACATGGGGGATGCACAGCACTGCTCAGAGGGAAGCTGTAGCACTAAAAGCATGCTCAAGATATGAGGAACAGTTTCCAGTCAATGGCCTGTGCTACTGCTTCAGGAACTCAGGAAAAGGATAAAATAAACCCAGAGCAAATAAAGAGAAGTAATACAAAAAATAAAAGCAGAAACGAGTTAGGTTGAAAATAGAAGAACATTAGGGGGAAAATCAATAAAACAAAAGCTAGTTCTTAGAAAAGAGAGTAAAACTGACAAATCTCTAAAGACTGACAGGGAAAAAAAAGAAGAAAGCATTACCAGGACGAGGAATGGAGCAAAGGATGTCACTGCAGACATTAGGCAGCAAAAGGTGACGGAGGAGTGCTACAAATAATCCACTGAATTAAGTTTGAGAACTGAGATGAAATGGAATAACACTTCGAAAAACACAAAGGACTATGATGCATCCATCTTTAAATATGAAACATGAACAGCTCCATTAATATAAAGGATGTTGAATGTATGACATGAAAACTTTCAAACAGACAAACAAACAAACAAAAAACCTACAGGTCCAGACAGTTTCACTAGAGAATTCTAGCTAACAGCCAAAGAGGAATAAGCATCAATTATATATAATCTCTTCTAAAAAACACAAGAAGCAGAAACATTCCCAATATCCTTTGTGAATATGCATACATCAACAAGTAGAATTCAGCAATATATAAGAAATATTAAATACCTGGTCATTTATTCCTGAAAAACAAAAATTTATGTTTACCAAAGACCCCTGCACAAATTTTATAGCAGCTTTATTCATAATAGATAGAAATTGAGAAGAATCTCAATTCCTTCAGTGGGTGTTGTACATGTATACCAAACAGCACCACAGCCAGAAAAATGGACACACCATCAGTCTAGTAAGAATCTCAATCAATCTCCATGAGTTATGCTGAGCGAAAATACCTGATCCCAAAAGGTGACATGCCAGATGATTCTATTTATAGAACATTTTTGAAATGATGATATTATATATATAAAGTAAAATCTTTAAAACGGAAAAATAAGAAACTGCAGGTATAGCTTAGTGATGGAGTGTTTGCCGAGCATTCGTAAGACTCTGCATTCTATCCCTAGTAACACACACATAAACACATACACACACACACACAAATATAATTGCAAAGTTCTTCGCAGGTAGAATTTGTTATACTGGCACAATAACCACTGGGTGAAGAGGAAAGAAAGGGCAGGAGAGGTACTTTCAGCTATAACGAGTTTTGTTCTACAATAAATAGAAGGCATAAAGTAATGAGAACTAGGCCCACTCTGACATTTCTCAAACGTTAATTGTGCCCTGACATTTTCAGCCTTTCTGTTCTTGCTTTTGCTCTTCTGTCTTTAACTAAAGATAGTGGAAATGTGGTACCATATCCTAGATAAACATCCAGGTTTCTATGGTTTTGAAGGACAAAAGTTCCCAGCAGTATCCAGTTACTGTGCAAAGCATCATGAAGATACTGTGATTGACAGTTTGTAAAGACAATTCCCAAGTTACCACCAAATTAACTGAAAGTTATATTAATAATCAGTACTAAAATTTCCTTTTCACAGACAGTTTTAAAAATCTGAGAAAAGGGGCTGGCGATATAGCTCAATTGGTAGAGTGCTTGCCTCGCAGGCACAGGTCCTGGGTTTGATCTCCAACACCACAAAAAAAAAAAAAAATCACTAGTGTACTAAAATTTCTGTATTTTACATATAAAATAACTTTTCAGCAAATATATAAGGTGCCCTTATATTAAGATATAGATAGGGATGAGAGGGGGGAGGGAAAGGGAGAGAGAAGGGAAATTGCATGGAAAGGGATGGTGATCCTCAGGGTTATACAAAATTACATACAAGAGGAAGTGAGGGGTAAGGAAAGAATAATACAAGTGGAAGAAGTGTTTTACAGTAGAGGGGGTTGAGAGAGAAGAGGGGAGGGG